AACTCCAACTCCAGCTCTAATCATAATCATAACACAAATACCTGACTCTAACTTTCACGCATGCAAATGCGGGAGCAGAAACGGAAGCTCATGCAAAGTTCTTTTGCATTTGCATTCTTGTGCATTTCCAGAGTTCAAGATAGGTGAACTCTGACCTGCAAATTCATATTGTGTGGGACCAATAAAAGAATTATACGTAATGGAATGTCCTCGTAGCTGAATTAAAAGAACACTAATTTAAAACTAGTGTTCTAGTTTAAAACTAGGAAGAAGCGGAGTAGATCGTATGTTTTTATATTTTGGATTTATTATTATTTGATAATGTGTTGAATTTAAGTTTTTAATAAGATGCTGAAGAATGTGATGTCATATCATGACCGTTGCAGCATCTGAAGAAATTTTGCATGCTCAAAATCTAGTGTGACTGCAGCTTAAAGCCCAAAGTATACTTTGTTTTTGTACACTTACACTAGCATATGCGTACAGTCGAGCGCATAGCCTTTCAACGCATTCTCCATTTGATAGTGTCTGTTGTTGATGCAGTCTCTGCTATTTTGCTGTTGTCATTCTGTCTCTTTAGTTTCGTTTATACTGTGAAACAATGATCTAGGACAGTGTTGCCACCTTGTGGAACAACTGATTAGTTCAAACCAAATTCAACGCGCATCTGTGACCGGTTACAAAAACTGGTAGGTGCGCGTACTATTCTAAAATTTGTGTCACGCGCACTGTATGCAGACCCTCACATAAACATAAAAACCGAAGTACACTTTGAGCTTAAAGGGTTAATGTACATATGGCAGAAATGAACGGAAAAATCTATTAAAGACGTAATCAAACAGACGACGAACACTATTAACAGCAATTATTATATGATGCAATCAAAGTTATAGCAAAATGTGGTAGTTCTGTATGTTGTTTCAGGGTTGGCATCATCTGAGGTCCTCTGAGGGGTTGGCATCATCTATATGATGATTATATATATATGTGTGTATATGACTTTCTTCTTTCAGACGAATCCAGTCGGAGTTATATTAAAAATTGTCTTTGATCTGTCAAGCTGTTTAATGCCACTCAGCGGGTGTTGCATTGCTTCAGTCCAAAATAACTTTAAAATAAAAAAAGTGTCTCACACGGCTCCGGGGGGTGAACAAAGGCCTTCTGTAGCGAATCGATGCGTTTTTGTAAGAAAAATATCCATATTCAAAACGTAATAATCACTTTAATGTAGCTTGCGACAACAGTTGTACACAGAAGCAGTTCCGGGAGCATGACGTATGAGGTCAGTGTTGCGCATTAAACAGGGATATCAGTGGTCAGTAGGGCTACACGATTAATTGAATGGGATTAGCATGCGTATCATATCAGTAAAGCTGGTTCTGTGATTAGTAGTAAATCTCCAGCATGCACTTTCAGATGGAGCAGCGTTTACTACACAGAGCCGTAGTTCACTGACAAGCTACGCAAAATCAGGTTCATAATCGCAGATGATTTAATCACGCAATTATGAAATCTAAGAAATCGTTCTGCGATTATGAAAGCTGTTTGCATAGCTTGTCAGTGAACTATGGCTCTGTGTAGTAAATGCTGCTCCATCTGAAAGCCTGTGAAAATACCACATTTAATAACATGTTTTTACTCCAAACTCACTTCATAACGTCAGTCGAGTGTTTGAAATAAATCCTTCTGTGAGATGACGTGACTTCTTACACAGAATAAGGCACATAACATATTTCATAGTATTCTAAGCAGTGATAAAGTCTATGTCGATTAGCATTGCATTATTATTTACTTTATTATAATAAAAATTATAATAAGACAAACTCAGATAAAACATATATTGTCGTAGTCGTGTGTTTATTAATCACGTTGAATTAATGAAAGCAGTTAAAGCTTCTGTTTATTCAGCACCCACTATAGGCATTTCCTGGGTTTCTTCTGCAAGGCGTATTTGGAGTTTCAGCGCGAGAGCGCCCTCTGGCCTTCAGGTGGCGATTTACTGCTGATCACAGAACACAAACTCAGATAAAACATATATTGTCGTAGTCGTGTGTTTATTAATCACGTTGAATTAATGAAAGCAGTTAAAGCTTCTGTTTATTCAGCACCCACTATAGGCATTTCCTGGGTTTCTTCTGCAAGGCGTATTTGGAGTTTCAGCGCGAGAGCGCCCTCTGGCCTTCAGGTGGCGATTTACTGCTGATCACAGAACCGTGCTTCACTGAAAGATACGCATGACAATCGCAGCTTTTGCCTAGTCGCGATTTATCGCCTTTGCTATTTAATTCAGATTAATCATGCAGCCCTAGTGGTCAGTTTTGTTCTTTTCAGCAGGTGTCTAGTAATTTTAGCTGCTTTTTACAGTTCAACTCAAACTATATTCCCACTTCATAGCTAATTTTCAAGAGGCCTGAACCTTCCTCTCTTGGCTGTTACCTCTGTATTCGTATCTTTAGAAAAGCTATTTCTTTGAAAATTGTATCATACTTATATGTCCGCCTTGGCCCTCTCTGCTACCGTTTTATCGCACCACCTGTGTGTAATCGTATAAGCATTTGTCGCACTTCCTTAGTTCTTCTGTCACACCCCTCCCCTCCTCCCCCCATAAAATGACATGGCGGGAAAGCATAGCAGGTCCACTGTACTGTGACTGTTCTTTAATTAAAAGCCCTTGCTTCTCTCTGGGTATTCAAACAGCTGCGCCTCTGACGAACCGATTCCCTCACCATGCTCAGCGTGTCTGATTGCTGCTTGGCCGCAACAGTGATTAAAGCATGATGGCCGTCCCAGCTGACCGACGCTGAAGCCGGTAGATTATATTTGCATCAACATATGCCCAAGGAAACTGTCTCGAAACTCAAAATGAAAAATCTGTTCCTAGTACAGCATATTTTGTTGTTCCTAGAACAACATTCCTTTCAAGAAAACACATAGCTGTCTTAACCGGATTTCACATTAACCTTACTGTAACTGAAGGAAATGAAAGGATGAAATGAAAGGAATGTTCAAGACACCTTAAGGCACTTACTAGGGTAATTATTGTACACTAAGATGGAAACTGTTGATAACTATTTTTAAAAAACGTTTGAAAAAAGGAAGATCATACTGGTTTAATCTAGTCTTTTTAGAAGAGATTATAGATAACGAACATAATAGTTGGACTCAGATGGCTGATAGGAAATGCCAATTGAATATATTATGTTTAAGTGCCATTGTAGGATTTACATTTCATACCATTTGACGTTACTATGAGCATACAGGCAGACTGAGGCCTAAAATTTTGTGACAGTATTTGCTTTTTGTATTTAAAAGTAAATTTGACTGTTTTCATGATAGTCATGAACCATGATTTTCTCAAATGCCTTGCTTATTTCAGATTCTGGGAATGTTCTGCTTGTACTTTAATTAATTTCTTAATAAATTACTAATGCTAAAACATATAAAATATATAAAAATGAAATGCATATACAGTATATCTTCCTAGAACAACATTCCTTTCAAGAAAACACATAGCTGTCTTAACCGGATTTCACATTAACCTTACTGTAACTGAAGGAAATGAAAGGATGAAATGAAAGGAATGTTCAAGACACCTTAAGGCACTTACTAGGGTAATTATTGTACACTAAGATGGAAACTGTTGATAACTATTTTTAAAAAACGTTTGAAAAAAGGAAGATCATACTGGTTTAATCTAGTCTTTTTAGAAGAGATTATAGATAACGAACATAATAGTTGGACTCAGATGGCTGATAGGAAATGCCAATTGAATATATTATGTTTAAGTGCCATTGTAGGATTTACATTTCATACCATTTGACGTTACTATGAGCATACAGGCAGACTGAGGCCTAAAATTTTGTGACAGTATTTGCTTTTTGTATTTAAAAGTAAATTTGACTGTTTTCATGATAGTCATGAACCATGATTTTCTCAAATGCCTTGCTTATTTCAGATTCTGGGAATGTTCTGCTTGTACTTTAATTAATTTCTAAATAAATTACTAATGCTAAAACATATAAAATATATAAAAATGAAATGCATATACAGTATATACACAAATAGAAGAACCCTAATCTGTAACTAACTAAGCCATTGCTGATTTTTTTTGTTTTGATTTTTTTTTGTTTTATAGAGTCTGATATTTTTTTTAGGATTAATTTTGATGAATAAAAAGTTAAAAAGCATTTTTTTATGTCTTTTACTATCACTTTTTATCAATTTAACACATCTTTGCTGAATAAAAGCATTATTAAAAGAAAACATTTTTACTGATCCCAAACTCTTGAACGGTACTGGATATTATTACAAAATAAATGCTGTTCTTTTTAACTTTTTATTCATCAAAGAATCCTGAAAAACATCACAGGTTCCAAAAGAAAATAAATAAGCAGCTCAACTGTTTTCAACATTGATAATAAATTGTCATATTAGAATGATTTCTGAAGGATCATGTGACACTGAAGCCTGGAGTAACGGCTGATGAAAATTCAGCTTTTCATTACAGTAATACATTTTATTTTAAACTATATATTAAAATGAAAAACTGATATTTTAAATAGCAAATATTGTCTGATATTTCAGTTCTATAAATATATAGTTCAGTCATGAAACTCTAGATGGCACAGGCGATGAGTTGTTAACGTAACCGATGATATTCAGAGAGTTAAACGGCTTGGCACAAGCTGATTGGTTCATGCTGCATATGCAGCCAATGAGCTTTCTGCCTTGCATTTATATGGCTGGCTAGCATTCACTTGAGATTCCTGCAGAGCGCTTTCAGAGTTCTCTGAAACCCTCCACCTTCCCCAGCTCCACCTGTATAGATCTGCTACGGGGTTATTTTATATGCTATTTGTGCAGCAGCAGTATGTCTTAAATACTCATGGCACCGTATCGCCATATGCAGTGGCAGTAGCAAGTTCCTGTACTTGCTTGCAGATGCAGCAATAATCTACAACTAACGCAATAACCAACAGCAGCAGCGGAGCAGATCTATTCCGCCAAGACCAAATACATTAACATTGTCATATCCATCACCATGCTAAAATGTTCCGTGAGTTGTCATGATTTAACTAGTTGTAATTGAATCTAGAACCATTTGGTCAGAGGTCTGACACATGAAAATGAAGACTTATGGAGAATGATGTGTTTATTTCGGACCGTTATGAAATGAATTACGGACAGTAATGGCTTGAACCTCTGATCTTGTTGAAGACATGCAGACTGCACAGTCTGAACACTTGCCGATTATTTAGGGAGACAGCCTGGATGTTGTCTGGGAGAGAGGGAGAGTGGGTGGGTGTGAACTGCCGGGAATGTCACGCTTTCCTCTGTGCTTTTTACACAGGGATTGCTAACCTATGACAAGCAACATCTCACCCACGCTTTCACTTCCAGCTTTGATGTCTCTCACTCTGGCACCCCTCACTCTAGCTCCGAGGGGCTGCATCTGTCTGTATCCTGTCAGCGGATGAAACAGATGACGGTTGCACAGAGAGCTCTATTATCCTCCTACTGCCTCTTGCCCTGTTATTTACACTCTGACTGGAGTTCACGCTGCACTTTGGATGCCACCCATGAACTTCAGTGTTAGAAACCTTTAGCAGTGTTACTCAATCTATCGGCAGTTTATTTGGTGACGTTGAAGACACGTCCCTCAAGGGCAAATTCACTAAATGGTTGCGCTGTCTTGGTATGCTGTATTTCAACATAAAAACTGCTTTATTACTGTAACCGAATGCAATCCAGTTTAACTAGAAGCTAATTGCCCTGTGAGTATCTAAATTGTTATGGAGTCTCATTCATTAAAGGGGTCATATGATGCTGCTAAAAATAACATTATTTTGTGTATTTGGTGTAATGAAATGTGTTTATGCGGTTTAAGGTTCAAAAAACACATTATTTTCCGCATACTGTATATTATTGTTTCTCCTCTATGCCACGCCTTTCTGAAACGCATCGATTTTTACAAAGCTCATCGGTCTGAAAAGCGAGGTGTGCTCTGATTGGCCAGCTGTCCAGTGCATTGTGATTGGCCGAATACCTCAAGCGTGTGACAGAAATGTTACGCCCCTTACCATATTGTGTTGCTCTGTCTGGCCGGAGCGACGAGACAAAAACATTAAAACCCATTATAAACGAGGCATTTGTTGCATTCAGTGGGGACATAATTATGGATTATAATGACTTATACTGTCTTTTTACGCATTCCGTAAACATAAAACCATGTCTGCATTTGTGATCGGAGAAATGACAAACAAGTTGCTACTCTACACTGCCCAAAAAACTTGCGTTTGAATCATCAGTGGCAAAGTCTTTAAATATAAAAAACTTACTTACAGTCTGTGAGTCAGAACAGCCGGCATTGTAGTCTACTCTATCAGGATCAGGAAAAAGTCCTCCATAAAATGCACTGGACACATCTGAATATATGGGTTAAACTGTTCTGGAACGGTGTTGTAAATACAACTTAACCACTGATTTCTAGTTGTTTCCTCTTTTGGAAGGCCAAACAAAGTAGTTTCGCTTTCACAACGAAACAGCATCACACACCGCGGCCTTGAGTGAGTGGAGGCCTAGAGTGAGCTGCGGCCTAGAGTGAGCGGAGGCCAGCTTGAGAACGGCGCTGCCGGCGGATTCAACGATAGAGCGTCCGGCGGGCTTGCGGCAACCAAATGTGACGACCCCGGGCTGGACTCTGCTTCGTCCACGGTGAAAGCTGATCCGGCGATCGACAGCGCGAAGTTGATGTATTTCCTCAACGACCAGCACGGATCAGCTCTAGGCATGATGAAGCGGCTATTGTCCTCTATTGGAAGGCCAACCAAAGTAGTTTCGCTTTCACAATGAAACACAGCGCCTTCACAACATGGCGGCGGTGGCGGCAACAATACTACAGCGAGAATAAAATGTATGCCTTCTTTCTTTGCGTGAACATTTGGGTGGCGTTATGCAATCTTCCCATGTCGTGACATAGACATGTTTTAGGTAGGCGTGGTTGACTCTTAACTTTTATAAAGAATATCTCTTTGGATTTGAGACTTTAGTCTTTGCAACTTTACAGATCTTCTTTATGCACCAAGAGCTTGTAACACTCCAAAGAGAAAGGAAAAATTAAAATCACATCATATGACCCCTTTAATAACTTTGTGTAAGAAAAGCTGTCATACTAATTTAAATATATGGGCCATGGACAAAAAGGGGTTTTCAAGCATCCAAACAATAAACATTTAGAATAGCTTTAATTTTTTTTCATACATTACAATATGTCCTTGAATGTGCCTTTTAAGCAAAAAAGAATGGCTATCATACACATTAACCATGATTTACAGAAGACACTCACTAAAATGTCATTCAGTGTAACAATAATCCATATAATCAAAAAATCTTGTCAGGCATATTTAGATCAAGAAACATTAAAAGACTCAATTAATGGATCACAGTGTAGCCCCCCAAATACTAATTAATTGTAATTTTAAATCTATACCAATCTTTGCTACTATCATTCAAACCCATTTGTGATCAAGACATTTTTAATTATTTAAAATATAGTACAAATTTAGTTTGATCACCTTTTATTTTATATATCTTTTTAAGTACAGGTCAAAATAAGTATGTTCCCTTTCAGTCGGTCACTCTCGACGTCACGTCGGATGACCGACGAAATTGGTATCTCGCTTAGAGAGACCAATCTACTTCGAGTGTAAACAAAACGAGCCAATGCACATTGGCATGCGATTATTGCATGCAGCTGCTGCTGATCACAGCGTGAGTATAAGTAGGCAGCAAATGCAGCGCATATTCAGCTTTTCGCTTCGGAGCCGAGCGATCACATCGTTCTGCTCCTGACTACTCTACTGAGAGAAGAAGACTGAACGAGTTCAGCGCGCTCTTGGAGAGCTCTTCGGGTGCGTCTTTTTAAAGACGACGTTGCTTGGCAAACTTGACGTTACGTCTTTATAAAGACGATGTGGGTCTTGCTATAGACAACGTATCACCCGGGCGTTCTGGATGCGGTCGTTACCTGGCGCTGGGTGATGGTCACGATGGCTGCCTCTCGGGCCTAGGCATGAAGCACGCTGAGGTGGCTTTCGTGGATGGCTCATGCTCCCATTGCGGGGGTATGAACATCTCGGAGTTGCGGACCGGACTCCGTTACCTGCAAGGGGGCGGAGTGCCCGTGCCACTGCCTAGATCTGGGGTTCCCTCT